AACACGTGCAGACTCTTTTCATCGAATCGTGGTGCGATGACGAGCGCATCATCGAGGAGAACGTTCGCAGAGTCAAGATCTCATCCCCCGACGTAAGTAGGCTACCCCTAACATGTGTCCGATCAAAATGACCTAAGTCTTTCAGTACGTTGGCTGGTCATCCGAGGATGCAGTGAAGCACTACTTGACCAGGATATCTGCCAGAATCCCTCAATTTCAAACCATGGAGGAGAAAGATTTGAATTATATCAAGGTATCATTGGCGGAAAGACATGCCAGCTTCAATACTAATCGAAGTACAGATGATAAACGCGGGAGAAAGACTCATTGTCAACAATAAAAGTTTCGGTTATCTATCTAACCGAATTGTTTTCTATCTTCTCAACCTTCACATCAAGTCCAGGCACACGTACTTTGCACGAGTAAGTCGAGTTCTGGGTGAATGGACTCTCAGACACTAAACCTGCATTAGGCCGGTGTTTCGCTGGAGGCAGATTCCTATAAAGCTGATGCCTCTCTGTCTGAGCAGGGAGAGGACTACGCAAAGAAAATGACTGAACGTCTGCTGCAGCATAGGGAATTGGAAAAGCAGGCCATGATTGACCGAGGAGAGACGGATTATGAACTCAAATCACTAACAGTTTGGACATCCACGAGGCGCAGGACCGTTGAGACAGCGAAATACTTATATGAAAAGGGGTACAAAGTCCGGCAACGCTCGCAGATGAGCCAACTGAACCCTGGTGTTTGCGAGAAGATGTCTGAGAGCAGAATTCGTGAAGAGTATCCGGACGAGGTGGCTAAGCATGAGCTCGATCCTTACCACCATCGGTACCCTCGAGCTGAGGTGAGCTCAATTCCAGCTTCAAATCTGACGTTGTTCCCAGAGCTTACGTCTATGACAGTCCTACCATGACCTTGCCGTGCGACTCGAACCCATTATTTTGGAACTTGAGCGGGAGCAGAACGATCTTCTCATCATAGCACACGAAAGCGTGCTAAGAGTCCTCTATGGTTACCTCATGGCGTGCAATGCTGCTGATATTCCGTTCTTGGAGTTTCCACGTGACGAAATCATCGAAGTAAGGATACATTTAACACCTCAAACCTAAAGAGCACCCGACTGACTTTGTGCAGATTATCCCGGAAAGCTACCAAAACGAAGCGCGCAGAATACATATCCTTGATTTGCCAAAAGAAATTATACCTGGCTCTCCGCAAGATATCAAAATTCCGGTACCTCCCAGTGGGGTGCCTTCTCCCTTGGTTGGAGGAATAAGCAGCCCCAAGGATGGATTCTCAACACCACAAAGCGGCCTTCGAACTCCTCGGGAGCCTGAGAGGATATCGCAACAGCACGTGGACGATGTTGTCTGATCGTATGTTCGCTCTGGACTAAATGCTGCGTGGTGCACAATGGACCTTAGATCATGCCGAGTGCATGGAAACGATGATCCTGATAGAGCTCGTATAGACTTCTAGGCGGATTTATCCTCCGTGAAGTGTTGAGACGAATACAATATTGTCCCCTGATTGGAGCTCGTATTTCTCCTCGCCTTCAAGTTCCCAGTCGGCATCGTTGATAAGGACGAGGATACCAGGTCGTCTATCATTTACTGTCAGCCTTGCCACTGATACACGGGGTTCCATTCGCGACATACACGTTGTCTTCCATTATAAATAGTTCTTTCCTTTGATCCTTCATGACATTGTCAACCAGATATCGTAATAAGTAAGCGATGGTTGGCCGGCCGCCGTCGTCCACTTGAGCAGGTAGCGTGACATGATGTTTTCGCTCATTAGAGAAGAGAATCTCCAGACCACCACTATACGAATGGGAGTCAGCAGGCATTGAAGTGAAACAATGCATTCAAAGTTGGTCTAACATGAACTCAACAGTAATGGTGATGCTGTCGGCACCACCTTTCACGGTAGAAGAGTCAGCCATGACCACTTCAGAATAAGCCCACAGCCGGAGAAAATGTGGTTCTCAAAAATGGAATCAGGAATAGTCGAGGAGTCGTGTCTGACCGAAGACATGTGAGTGAAAGGAAAATGCAAACGAAGAGGGGCTGCTCTGCGATGGCCACGCTTATCGATAAGCTTAAATTCCGGCCACAAAAAGTGGTCATCGATCCATTCTCTATCTCAGCAATCGGAAGATAGCGCCTTTCTGTCCGTGTCCATAGCTGGACTTTGTCGCTGGACTTCTATACCAACTTAGTTCACCGATTGGCAATCATTCTTAGGCGCATTCATGGTGTCAATTACGACGGAATACATCAGTGTTGGGGGGAACAGGCATCCGGCCGCCGCAGACTGGGATGTGCAGTTAGGCGTGCTCGCCTTTGGTGCAGATAACAATGTGGCCTTGTGGGATCCAAGGGTATGAACTCTTTCAGTGGCTCAATTGGTCTCGACGCAATCGGACTAATACTGCTGTTGCCTATCTAGGATACCTCTCAGCGCGGGGTTTATGCCCTCCTCGTTGGCCATACCGACAAAGTCAGTGCGGTCAGATTCTACACATGTCCCGCCTCGGGTACGAAGCTGCTTCTTACCGGCTCCATTGACCAAACGATTCGGATATGGCGGGCTGATGCAGTCGACCCCGCCAAATTCACCCATGCACATACTCTTACGGGTCATACAGGCTCAGTGAATACGATTGCCGTTGCCGATGGCGTCGCTGTCGTCGTATCTGGAGCCGCAGATGGTAGCGTCAAGATCTGGAAGATCGACACGCAGGAAACGGTAATAAAGGCCGATCTATTCCAGGATCTTACGATGAAACCTCGCTTCTTCCCGCTGGCATTATCATTGAAGCCGCTGTCAACAGAATCGGAAGACAAACCCGTGGTATTGGCAGTCGCGGGCACGATGAATAATGTTCAGATTTATGTTTCTGAGAACATATTCGCTGGTGCAAGCTTTAGACTATCTGCGACTCTTTCAGGCCATGAGGCATGGGTTCGTTCCCTATCATTCACCGAGGATAAACAAAGCCAGTCGGGGGACCTATTGCTCGCCTCAGCCAGTCAAGATAAATATATCCGGTTGTGGAGGCTTCAACGAGGAGAGGCCACCAAGCCTGCACTGGCAGATGATGCAGATCCTATGCTTGGCGGACTTGATACGACCTTATCCAATAAAGCTCATCAGTTCGAAGCAGCCGGGTCCAAATATTCGGTCACTTTCGAAGCTCTTCTGTTTGGAAATGAGGATTGGATTTACACGACATGTTGGAACCCAAGCACGGAACGCCAACAGCTTCTTTCTGCTTCTGCAGACAATACTTTGACAATCTGGGAGCAGGATCCAGTGTCCGGAGTATGGCTCTCCGCAGAGAGGATGGGAGAAATTAGCGTCCAAAAGGGATCTACCACTGCTACAGGAAGCACTGGCGGCTTCTGGATTGGTCTTTGGTCTCCGGACGGAAGACAAGTCGCGAGTCTGGGCCGAACAGGTAGCTGGAGGGCATGGAGGTATGATGCCGATTCCGATATGTGGCTGCAGGCACTGGGGATTACGGGCCATGTGCGGTCTGTGAACGGTGTGCAGTGGGAACAAACCGGAGGGTATTTGCTTTCCACTAGCGCAGACCAGACTACTCGCCTGCATGCAGAGTGGTCGCGTGAGGGGCTGAAGTCGTGGCATGAGTTTTCAAGACCACAGATTCACGGTTACGATCTGAATTGCATTGATACCTTGGGACCCGCGCGCTTTGTATCAGGCGCTGACGAAAAGCTTTTACGAGTGTTCAACGAGCCGAAACCTATCGCTCATCTACTGGAGAAGCTGGCCGGATTTAAACCAGCAACGGACGAAGAGCTTCCCGATACAGCACAGATTCCAGTTCTCGGCTTGTCTAACCAGGCTGTGGGCGATGAAATCCCGATGGAGGTAGACGAAGAGAGTGCTGCGGGGGCGCGGCAAGTCCAAGCAAACCAGGCAATGATATCGAACCTTTGCCATCCACCGCTGGAAGACCAGTTGGCTCGCTATACACTATGGCCCGAGCATGAGAAGCTCTATGGTCATGGTTACGAGATATCAGCCGTGGCCGTGAATCATGATCGCACCCTGGTTGCGACTGCTTGTAAAGCAAGCTCAATAGACCATGCGGTGATACGGCTCTACGACACTTCTGACTGGCGTGAAATTCGACCTTCCCTAAAAGCGCATTCTTTGACTATCACAAGTCTGTGTTTTTCGAGTGATGACCGATACCTTCTCAGCGTTGGGCGAGATCGGCAGTGGGCTGTCTTCCAACGAAGTGGGCAAGACCCTTCTTCATTCTCGCTTCTGACATCGAACCCCAAGGGCCATTCTAGAATGATCCTCGATGCGGCATGGGCTCCCCAAGCGGCAGACCCTGTCTTCGCAACGGCTGGCCGAGACAAATCAGTAAAACTATGGGAGAAGGTCAGTGATTCGTTTACTTGCAAGACGACTATCTCTCTAGAAAACTCAGTCACAGCTGTTTCGATCCTTCCAAGTGTACTTGACGCCTCCTTCTTCCTTGCAACGGGCGAAGAAAGTGGCAAATTATCGATCTACCAGGCGACGGTTGACGGTCTCGAACCGAGACACGTTGCTACTGTTGATAGATTGGTATCTCCCTCTAGAGCGATCACCAAATTATCATGGCGGCCGTCCCATCAAGAGGATGTTAGAGATACTGAGTGCAGATTTGACCTTGCTGTAGCAAGTGAGGATTCCTCGGTGCGTGTATATGCTATTTCTAACATGCTTTCGTGAAATGCCATGTATATACACCATGAAAGAAATACAAAAAACACAATTATGAGCTCATGTCATGGGTGTTGAATAGCTCTAGAAATGTTGAATGATGACCGACCTTTATCGTCCATAAACCAAGCCGTAAACCGCCGCCATGCTATTGTTGTTGAACAGAACGTTTTGTTGAAGCAAAAGTAGTATTCCAAGAAATTGGACAACCAAGAGAATCAGACGCTCCGGATGAAGAGAGAAGCTGATCAGGTTGGCTTCTCCAGCCCATATCCCCCAAGTCCGTCCAGTGACCCGTAGGTCTTGCTCTGGCTGGATTGGCCGTTTCTCGGTCCTCTGGCCGACAAGTCCTCCTTGAGCCACTTGAGCACAAGCTCACCGAGTTGACTGTTCTCTGATGTCTCGGTGACCTCGCTCTTGAATTTTTCCATGGGGCCCGATTGCCTGACGTTTCCGAGGTGCATATGCACCAGATGGGTGGGCCACTGCGACAAATTATCCAGGATGTGCGTGGTATAGACGATCGTGCAGGGTCTTGTCTCTGTCTCCCGCTTGAGGAAGGAGAGGAAGTTACTCCTAGAAAGCAAGTCCAGGTCCACCGTGATTTCGTCCAGAAGAAGCACCTGCCATGGGCGCAGCAGACCCATCGCCAGCTGCACACGGCGGCGCTCACCGTCCGACACGGCGTGCATACGCCATCGGAGGTCGATGTCGAGAATCTCAACCAGCTCGTCCCTACGCTCGGGATAGGCGTCTCCGCCCACAGATGCTAGAAGCGTGGGGACGTCGATGTCCGTTCGGACAATGTTGTTCAGAACCCACTCGACACCCAGGTAAGTCACCCCTTCGAGGCCGTGCTTGAAGGGGTCCTTGCCAGCAATAGAAATTGTGTCTGTCGGGGCCAAGCGCTTGCCTGCCAGCAAGCGCAGGAGCGTGGTCTTGCCCGCACCATTTGCTATAATGGCGTTAACAATCGGTCATGACTCATCTAAGTCGGGAGCGGATTAAATCACCTCCAATGAGCAATGTCCGACTCCCTGCTGGGAGATTGAGGGTCACATTCGTCAAGCCTGAAGAACCATCCTGGAACTTATAGCTCAGACCATTCACATTGATTGAAGGACCCGTATAATCGCTTGAGTCTGCCATGTCTAGACGACGAGTAACTACGGCGGTGATTAATACAGCGCACTTTATCCTGATATGAAGAACACTTACTACTTCTAAACGGTAAGGGATTCATAGACCTAGTTGCTTGTTAATTGCGAGTCAGAGAGTGACCACAACAGATCGTAGGTAAGACTTGTTCTAGAAACGTGCTTATGACTCGATTGCCACTAGTCCGTGAGGTAGGTACTTAGCATTTGGAGAGACGTATGTCATGTGATCTCCTACTTACGCCATTCTGTCTGGAAATGAAGTTTGAACTTGACGCGCTGGACTGCCGGAGTAGTCGGAGTTTCTATCGATTACCTATAACTTTAATGCTGCCTTTGACTGTACAGGGCGGCAAGGATATATATAATGAAGCAAAATAAAAACATCAAAAACATACGACAGCCGGGATTCGCTGGTGGTCACCCACCCAACTACTAACCGGCCGGCGTGTGGCTTAAGTACGGCTGAGCGGACGGGAAGCCCTGTTTTCCACACCCTATGGTCGTATGTGGTGGATATGACAGACCAAAAGCTTATATAGGGAGTAAATGCACATACCATGTAAGCATTATTGAATATTAACGCTGGACTGATTGACCATTGAAGAGGACTAATGAGATAGAGCCATTAGTTTCACAAATTTTCTCACAATTGAGTTATATTGCTATATATCAAGTACCAAGGTTTGAGAAGCTGAATCTCAGGTTGAAGCGGAGGCCGATGAGGTAATGTCGGCTTGGATATACTTGCGAGCAAACTTTTTTCCGTGCTTGATTGAGTCTACAACGCCTTTCGACGGCTAAAGCATCTGCTTGTTGCCTGTAGCCAGGGGAAAATGGATTCGTAATGACAAGAATCTTCCATGTGGCTCTCCCATGCTCAACTTTCTCCGCTCTTTCTGGCGCATCAAACGCCCATTGACCATGGAGCCCCTCATTGCCGTCGTCGGTGCAACGGGCACCGGCAAATCCAAGGTGAGGGAGACAGGAAAGAGAAGAATCACAAGAGAAGTTCTTTGCTAATGACTGTAGATAGCTTGCGGTGGATTTAGCCACCCGTTTCAACGGTGAAATCATAAATGGCGACGCTATGCAAATGTACCGCGGCCTACCCATCATCACGAATCAGATACCAATCGAGGAACGTAGCGGCATTCCGCATCACTTGATCAGTTGTGTCGATTTGGAAGAGGAGCCCTGGCGCATAGGACATTTCAAAAGGGAATGCTTGCGACTTATAAAGGACATACACTCTCGAGGGAACCTCCCTATTCTGGTCGGAGGAACGCACTACTACACACAAACGGTGCTCTTCAAGGATCAGCTGGTTGAGGAGAGCCTCTTTTCAGGCGACAGTGACGATGCACATTTCCGTGACGAGACTGGGCCTACGTCCGCGAAGTGGCCCATCCTTGATGCGCCGCCAGAGGTAGTCTTTCAGAAATTAAAAGAAGTCGATCCCGTTATCGCCAGTCGATGGCATCCAAACGATGTTCGCAAAATCCGACGATCCTTGGAGATTTACTTTCAGACCGGCAAGCCGGCCTCCGAGATTTACGCGGAGCAGAAGCGTCAGAAATATGCGACGGAGACAAATGGAGAGTCTTCCCTGGATATAGGACAGCTCCGTTGCCCGACACTGATATTCTGGGTGCATTCAGAGAAGGAGACATTGAACTGCCGACTTGCAGAACGTGTAGATTCTATGGTGGAGCAAGGGTTGATGGCAGAGGCCCAGAGAATGTGGGCTTATCTTCGGGACAAAAAAAAGCAAGGCATTACAGTTGATCAAACAAGAGGCGTCTGGGTCTCCATCGGGTTCAAGGAATTAGCACCCTACTTTGACGCCTTGGATGACGGTGCCTTGAGCGAAGGGGAGCTTGAAGCACTCAAGCAATCGTCAATCGAGCTGGTGAAAATCGCAACACGTCAATATGCGACCTCCCAGATCAAATGGATACGGAACAAGCTTTGGAAGGCGCTCGCTGACGCTAGTGCGACAAATAGTTTGTATCTTCTTGACAGTACAATCGTTGAAGACTGGCAGAAGTGTGTCACCGAACCATCTGAGCGCCTGACTCAGGCGCTGCTCAACGACGAACCCAGACCGGATCCTAAATCTATCTCTGACATGGCAAGAGAAACACTGGGCGTGCGAGAGGCTCAGGCGCAGACGCAGCGCAGCGACCTGCTTCAGACTTTTACATGTGAGGTCTGCAGTAGAACGATGGCGACCGAAGACCAGTGGAATATTCACCTGAACGGGCGTGCCCACAAGAGGGCAGTCAAGAATGCAGCAAAAAGAGCAGAGCGCGAGGAATATTTGCGCAATCAGCAGACCTTAGGTGTTGGTCAAAACCGTGACGATCCAACCCCTACTGAGCAGCCTTCGACGCCGCAGTAGAAAGTAGACGTGTTTCGGCTCACGAAAAAAATCACATTGGCTGCTTTCCCTCTGGCAGGCAGAGCCACCCTCTTCAACTTTACATTTCCAGTATCCATTCTATGAGAAATTATACATCATGGACCGAGTCGTAAGGAGGTTGAACAGCAACCTTGCCCTCCAAGTCTCCTGTATCATGGCAGCCGAATATGGCGACGTCCACAATGGCGTAGACTAGGTCACTCCGTCACCTTGCCGATACACTGGCATAGGCAAAATAGAGCATCCCAGCTTGGTACAAGATGGCGATGACTTTCACCTTTTCGCGTTGATCCCCGAGCATGCTGTAGTCGTGTTATATCTGTCCGGCCTGGCAATATTCACCCACCAAATGGAGCAGCACGACAGATCTCTCAAGGCCCGGATACGGTCTTCAAAAGCAGTGCTGTGGTCAGGCTGCTCACGTTGAGTGCTTACCACGGTATCAGGCTGCTCAAATACATTACTTCCATCATAGCCTGACCCGAAGCCAGCGAGCCCACTCTACTTGCTTTGGTCGAACCGGCAGACAGATTCGCGCACCTGCCGCGGTTTGTTGTGTTTCGAAACATTTTTGAAATGCAAGGTTCCCCCGGTCAAACAGTTTGTAGGCGCCGACTCCACCTTTATCATGAGCGTGATCGCCAATCCAGAAACGATGTGGAGATGATGTCGCCTGTCCCAGTCTCCTCAATCTTGAACACCTGAATAACCGAAGACTTCTCCAGCTTACGGATTCGCCACGTTCCTCCCTCCTTGATTGTGGATTTGAGCCCTTTGAACCCATTAGCTGACGGACATGGAAGGGGCATTCCAGTGCATATGCTGAGACTTACATTCGAGGAATGCAGCAGCGAAGTTGATGCAAATGTTGCCATCCCACGTACCCCGTCCTAGCTTCTTTACCTTGTTTGGTATACTGGCTGTTTCAAGCTCTTCCAAACGATGAACTATACCGTGATGGTCGCGAAAACCAACAATGATCTTGGGGACGCCAAGGAGGAACGACTGGGCCCAGAACTTGAGGAGCTTTCGCTCATACTTGATCATGTCACGGTCGTTCCGGATCTCTGCCGAAGTCTTCAGCTCTACCCAGTTGATGGGGTCTTCCTTGCGGTCGGGTTTGCAGTCCCACACTAGCACAACAGAATCAGCACAGGCTTTAGTTCCACCCCCTCAAGAATCGCCCTAAGCATGCATCTAGAGTGATAAGGAGCATACCAGCATCCACTTCACCACCAATGATCAAACGGGAACTCCCTATCCCTGTTCGAACAACCGAGCAGTATTGTGAATTGTTGTTGACCACGAGGTCTTCGCGACTTTCGATTTCAGCCCGAGGCGTTGGATCCCATGGCTGCTGAAGCAAACATAGAGCTTCAAATTTGTAGCCTGACCTTGCAATTTCAGCATCTTGTAATCGGCTCATGGAGAGGTAACCGTACCCCAGTATGCCATCAGATCCTGGGAGGCCATTCCCGGGGGCATTCTTTGATTCTGCTGGATTTGTTTTTGCTGGATTTTATAGACGTTGTTCTCCTCAATGAAACTACTCCCCATCAGCACCGTAGAATTAGCGGAGTCTTGGAAGGATATACAAACATGGTACCCTGCATCTTCACGGTTAAAAATGTAAACCACGTATCAACGAGCTTGGACACACCCTACCTGGAAACAGGTCGCATTCATTTCGAAACTAACGTTTCAGATCAGTAAGCCGAAGGCATTTCATGTGTCCGGTCTACATACCCGTTGAGATTGTCAAAAGGAGCAGTCAATATCTTCAAGAAGAATAGTGTCAGTAATAGCCACTTTCCAGATGAAACGAGAGACATGAGCGGCTTACCTTCGTCATCATGCCTCTCCATGTGATGATGTCCGCTTCGCATCTCTTTCCCGTCTCCTTTTCCAGAGCTATAATGGTCTCTAGCAAAGCGTCTAGATGCTCATCGGCGGTATCATCTAGCTTCTGGAAAGTGTCGAAGCCACGATTCAAATCCGCGGGGAGGCGCGGCGTATAATAGTACCGCAGGGACGAATCCCCGACGTGGAACTTATGCTCATCATCGTATGAGAAGCAAGTGATCTCCTGTTTCCGGGTTATTTTCAAGTTTTTGTCTTGAATGGACACGGAAAACGACATACCCTTGGACGTCGGATTGTGGTATTGGCGCCATAGAAGCGGCCAATTGGCTGGATGTCAAATGCACCACCATCCATAGCTTCTTCGACCGAGGTGTATCGGGCGTATATTGGGCCTATTGTGAAAGAAAAATCAAATGATGCTTGAAGGCAAAGCTATTTCAAGCTGTGGCATCTATATAGGCTTCTTGCGACCAATACGGATTGTTAGGTAGAACAAGACGCCAGTATATATGATCTTCTAGGTGCACTGACAGATGCTCGAACGAGGAGTAACTACACCTCACTTGGATCGATACACGTCAAAGTTGCTGGGTTGGAATATTTTCCGCCGAAGGAACAAGGGGCCTGTATCTGGAGAAGCTCCGCGGTTCTGGAAGACACCAGGCAAGTTCCCCACCAAAAGTTCTCAGACACTCGTCCATCCGCTCTCAGCTGTCGCTGATCTTGTTATCCTCCTAGGCTGGAATCCCTCTACAAACTCGTTTGTTCCCAATAATTTGGAAATCTTAGCTTCTTTACACCCTCGACGCAACTCCCCTGAATTTGTGGTCCCGTCCGTCAGTCCCCTGTCACTTGTAGGCGAGATGACCTCACGCATCGACAAGACGATTGCTCGGCAACGCGAGAAGTAAGTTTGCCTCGAGCTTTGACATACGACTATAATTACTCAATTTACGACCTCTTAACCAAAGGATAATGGATATTAACTTTTGGTTCTCATCTGCAGAATCGCCTCCGGTGCTTACTACGAAGCTCACCAACAACTCCGTGTTATCGCAGCGCGATACATCAAACAATCGAATTATGAAGCCGCTGCTGAAATATTGGTTGGCGGTGCGACTGCTCTTCTGAGAGCTGGATCTCAGCAGGGCGCTTCTGCGAGTGGGGGAGACTTGGCTATTATGTTGGTAGACGAGGTGTACACCAAGGCGGGGTGGGGGATTACTGGAGGAGATGACGATGCGGAGGGTCGAGCCCGAAAGAGTGAGTTTGATCTCGTCTATTGAACATCACAGGCTATCTCTTTATGGATGGAAGTCCTTCTGAGCGAATCTATATGGAACCAGCGGCTAGCTGGTGGGCTAAGGATATTGCACTTTCTGAGATCGAATCGGCTAACGATGCTTCTCCATATAGAGCGCTTAATCGAGCTTCTGCGCGAATTCCCGTCGGAAGAGCCCACGAGGAAGAGATTCATTCAAGAGATGATCGGCTGGAGCGGACGTTTCGGTCCTGTGGAGAGAGGAGATGCGGAGCTGCACCATGCAGCTGGTTCAGTATACGCTGAAGGTTCGTTGGCCATATGTGACCGTGAATTTACGACGCATTGACGATTTTGCCAGACAATGAGCCATATGACGCCGAGAAGCATCTGATCCTTGGAACCTCCGAATCCGCCGAGACACTCGCGAAGCTCGAGTACGAGTGGTACACGAACGACGAGCCTCATACGGCGGCTATTTACGCCTCGCGTGCAGTCTTTCCTTACCTGTTAGTCGGCAACCTCCGGAACGCCAACAAAGCCTTCCTCATCTTCACCTCACGGCTCTCTACCTCAAATGTGTCCCTCGGCGTACAAGAAGTCAGCAGCGCCAGCTCCGATGTTCGAGTTTTCCCGTCTCTGCCTTTGCTGAACTTCATAAGCATGCTGCTTCTCACTATTCAGCGAGGCAGCGCAGACCTTTTCAAGCAGTTGACTGCCCATTACGCATCGCAGATTCAGGAAGTGGGGATCTGGGATGATGCTTTGTCACAGATAGGCGAGCAATACTTCGCGATCAAAGTTCCGAGACAAGGTAACCCACTTCTGGATATGATGGGCAGTATGCTGTTCGGAGGTCAGAACCAGGGCGGAAGTAGGAGGACACCCCCGGGACGGAGTCAGTCGAAGACCGTGGAGGCGCCGCCGGCCAGCATGGAGCTCGATTAGATGAACCAGGCCACGACCTCTGCGTGATATATGTATCTTGAATATATTAACCAAGTAGATACCAGATAGATAATTGAAGCGTGATTATCCAGTGGTACTTGGCTTGTCCTGGATGCTGCAAGTTGGCTTTAGGCACGTGAATCTACTTCTGGCTCGTACATCCAGTTGTCTTCCTCGAGCGCCGCTACTTTGCTTCGGAGACTTTGATGGATGAGATTGAGGATTTCTGTCGAATATTAGTGTTTGATTGCAAACAGTATGAAAAGGACCACGTTGGACCCACTGTACGCATGCACTTACCGGCTGGTTCGTTGCTCATTTGTCTGTTTCGGTTTCGATACATAATTTCTGCTAGACTTGCCTCGATCTCTTCGACAGGCCAGTCACGTCAGCTTCTGCATTCAGACCACCAATCGTTTCTCTAGCCTACGGCCTGCCAACCTACTTTCTTTTTCTCGCCCGCTGATCTCAGTTTGGCTAGCTGAATCGACAGCCGTAGCTCCTGCTCCCCCGCTAGTTCCACCCTCGTCCAAACCATCCATGCCGTCGCCATTTTCACCGGTAATGGCAGGCGGAAGAACAGGAATGTCAAGCTTGTAACCACCGTTCTTGTCCCTGACCACGATATCTCCGGTGTCCAAGGGACCAGAAGTCAGAGAGGGTCCCGTCGACTCGGAAGAGGACTGTAGCGTGTGAGAGGCAGGACCTGAAATCCCATTGCTCCTGCCGCTTTGCATCGACCCAGGCGTAGTAGAGACCGGGCGTCTGCTGAGGTTATGGTGGAAGAGATTGCGTCTGACAGATGTTGTGCCCATCCTGGAAGGCGATTTGCAGGAACAGGTCCTGGATTATTGAGAAAGCTCCTAGCAGGAAGGGCTGCCAGAAGCTGAGGAGAAACTGTGATGCTTGTTAGACTACTTTTTGGGTCAAGAATAGATGTTTGTAATGTGACGTTATTGAGCCATATGCGGCTCTGAAATGAGTGTCAAGACAATCCAAGCTGGTCGAGGCCGTAACAAAAAAAAAAAATAGCCTAGAAGAATAAAACAAATGCTGAGGCATAACAATAAACAGCCAATGCTGGTGGCAGTGGGTGGAGATGAAAGGGCGGAATTGATCCGGAGTCCCAATTAAGCCAAATTTGGTCCGTCCCGACGCGTCTCCAACCTTCGCGTATTCCGAAAGCCAGGTCATTTAACTGATAATCTGCCTGTTGTTTCACATTACAAGGAACTGCAGAAACTCCTAGCACAGCTCACTATTCCTGCATTCAGCTCTTCACAATGGTGCAAGCGGAATCCTCAGCAAGTGCTTCTCGAAATAGCCTGAAGGCTGTTACTGCGGGAGCTCCGCCCGATTATGAACTACCCTGGTTTGTAAACAAGATCACGATGTTCTATTTGACAATTTCTAATAGATGACCTTTTTAGGGTGGAGAAATATCGTCCCATCTTCCTCGATGATATCGTCGGCAATACAGAAACAATTGAGCGACTGAAGATTATAGCCAAAGATGGCAATATGCCCCACGTTATCATTTCGGGCATGCCTGGTATCGGAAAGACCACCTCGATTCTGTGCTTGGCGAGGCAACTGCTAGGAGAGGCTTATAAGGAGGCGGTCTTGGAACTGAATGCTAGTGACGAACGAGGTATATTGCTTTGAGTCAGCCCCGTTCGGGATCCATTCTGACGATCTGCTCAGGTATCGATGTTGTCAGGAGTCGAATCAAAGGCTTTGCCCAGAAGAAGGTGACGCTCCCACCGGGCCGTCACAAGATTGTTATTCTCGATGAAGCGGATAGGTGTGATCTCTGAGAATTAAAAATATGTACGGATAGGCGCTGACCATTTACAGCATGACCCCTGGCGCGCAGCAGGCATTACGACGGACGATGGAAATCTACTCTTCTACAACACGGTTCGCATTTGCCTGCAACCAGTCAAATAAGATCATTGAGCCCATTCAATCTCGATGCGCTATACTGCGCTACGCTCGATTGACAGACACGCAGGTAGTGAAACGGTTGAAACAGATTTGCGATGCTGAGAAGGTGGATCACACAGAAGATGGGATCGCTGCGCTGGTTTTCAGTGCCGAGGGAGATATGCGTCAGGCTATCAATAACCTGCAGAGCACATGGTCCGGTTTTGGTCTGGTCAGTGGAGACAATGTCTTTCGTGTGGTCGACAGCCCACATCCGATCAAGGTCCAAGCTATGATCAAGGCATGCTGGGAAGGGAAGGTCGACGCTGCTCTAGAAACGTTGAACGAGTTATGGTATGCGCACTTGATTGCGCTCGATTATTGCTTCTTAACCGATATACTGATAACTACGCTTAGGGATCTCGGATACTCATCTCATGATATCATCAGTACCATGTTTCGAGTCACCAAGACGATTCCGACTTTGTCAGAGCATTCAAAGCTGGAATTTATCAGAGAGATCGGGTTCACACATATGCGCATTCTCGACGGTGTGCAATCGCTCCTTCAACTGAGTGGATGCGTATCCAAGCTTTGCAAAATCAACATGAAGCCCCAACTCTTTGAGCCTCCGAAGGCCTAGATATCCCGCCAAAAGCATTTTCATAGGGCATGTACATGGTGTTACGGCGTTCCAACGGCCGAGTGAAGTCTGAACCTCTTTTCTTAATGCAACGAGCTGAATCGGTGCATTTGGAATTATGCATCCACAAGAATCTTCATATGGTATCTATTTTTCTACGATTTCAATCCAATTAGATCTTCGTATGCGTTCCAATTGAGCAAAGCACACTGAATACACTAGCAGTTTTCAACCCAGGCAGGTGGCTTATGGATACGCCAGCTTATTGCGGATCCCTTAGGGGACTACGAGCATAAAGTAGCTCGGCCGGATACCAAGCTACTCCAGAACCGGTGTGACCGGCATTTTGGCACCCTCAGGTGGCCTGTGGTTCTTCTTAAACTCATCGCACATTTGCTCAAACGTCACCCATTCCACACCCTCGTGTTTGTTGATATGCTCGATGATCCTGTACTCTAGTCGGTCTGAGAAATCTCGCAGAGTAGCAACAGACTTACCTCTCATGCATGAGGAGGACATGGGGCCGCCCTGAAACATCGGGATGGATCGTCATCGGAAAGACAAAGCTGTCGTACTCGCGGTAGAAGTAGTCAAAATGGTCCTGGAATAGGCATCAGTTCAGCCCCCGTGGACAGTGACAACCTAGCCTGGGCCCGGTCACGGGTAAACGGACCTTCCAAATATCCTCGATGTCCCTCGGATTCACCCATCCATGGCTGTTAGGCGCGTTCTTGATGAACATCATCGGCGGCAAGTCGTCAATATACCAATTTCCGGGGATTTCCACGAGTCCAGTATCCTGGCCGCGGACCAGCGGCTTCATCCAGGTCTCCGCCTTCTGGCTATAGTCGATCTTGGTCCAAGTGTCCCCTGTCCGAAGCCAGTACATCTGGCAGTCATGATGAGACATGGAGTGGTCGTATTCGATTCCGTACGCAAGCAGGAGATCCGCCATCTCCTTGCTCGTCTCCCACCAGGGCGCCACGATGCCCCGAGGCGGTTTGCCGCAGAAATCTGTCAGCATGCGGTACGTTTTGTCCAAGACGTCCTTTTGCTGCTCGGGAGTCATGTCGCTGGGATTCTCATGGGTGTAGCCGTGTAAGCCGATCTCGTGGCCTGCGTCTCTCACTTGGGCGCATTCTTCAGGGAAGGTCTCCAGGGAGTGACCGGGGATGAACCATGTGGCTTTGATGTTATATTTCTCAAAGAGCTTCAAGAGACGTGGAGTACCCACATGACCAGCCCAGAGTCCTGTGGGAAGATGCGGTAAGAACTATTTGTCTTGTTGGAGTGTATGCGCAGTATCTCACCTCGACTGATATCGTTCGAGCTGTCCTCACCACCGTAGGACCCCAACCAGCCCGCGACAGCATCAATATCCACCCCATAGGCGACCAAGACGCGTTTTTTGCCCATAATGCTGATTCGACCACTGGGTTTTACAAGAAGAGGTGTATGATGGACGGCTTGGACGATCAAGTTTGCGCCGGTTTATATATGCGAGCCTGCTCCACCTGGCTTGATATCAAGTCAGCCACATTGGGAGAAACCAGTCAGAACTATGATAAGACAAGATAAGGGATCAATTTGTATCTCTGTATCCTCGTGTTTATCAGTCCATTGACCCTGTAGTTACGACCTACCCTTTTTGACAGAAATTCAAGTGAGGGATAGATGAGGCCTCTAGCTTCGGGTCCACATGTATCATTAAGTGCAGCTATCGATGTAGCTTGAAATGCGAAATGCGGGACTGGCCATTTCCCCTCTTGACTCGGATATGCAGGCGCAGATAGCCAAGGGCGGGGTGGCCTGGCTGTAAGCAAACGACACTCGCCCAGCTGTCATGAGGGGAAGAGTTGGAGACGGGAACAGCACAACCCCAAATTTGAAGGACATGGGAGTCGGAAGCACAGGTCTGAGCAAGCTAAGGAATTCGTCCGCTCTTACAGCTGAAATGCGTTTGTAAAAGTACTGAGGGGATGAGGCTTACAAGAGGTGTATATCTCTCCAGTCGCCATTTGAGTTAGAAACATCACGTCCTACGGATATAAGCTAGATAAGATCGCTACGCTTTGGCTTCCCTCCAAACCCTCTCAACGGCCGTTGCCGCTCCCAATACCTTCTCTTCTTCAAGTTTTTTACCAACGATCTGAAGATTTATCGGGTGGCCGTCCATCGTCAGCGGGTCATAGAGGCCCCAATTCCACTCGTCCAGCTCGTTTCTGGGGCGATAGAGTTCGCCTGGCAATCCGTCGCTCTCTGCTCTCACTTGATCGACAGGAAAGGTCACTGCAGGATAGTCAAGCAGATTCCAGATCTTGGTGTAACCTACCCAACGCACACTGCGATGGGGGACGGCCGCATGTGGCATTGTTGGACCAAGGAGAATATCGACTGGCTTCCCTGACGGGGACTGAACGGCATTCCATTT